TTTTTTAGTAGAGCGTTAAGAGTCTCGTGTTCTTAAATATGGAAAGTACACGTCTAGACTAGAAATGCAGCTTAGTGGTGGAGTCCTTGTCCACCACTATGTGAAGCCCTAAGTTCAAATCCTAGCACCACTAAAACAAAAAACAAAAAAACAACAGGGTCCATTTGTTCCAGCAACCACCCAGGGTTTATTTTTCTCAAAGTAATTGAAAAAACACCAGAAGACCATATGTTGTGAAAGTTATTTCTTCAATCACTTTAACCGCTTAGGGATTTTCAGTTCCTCAAATTTGTTAGAATTATGTTTTTTAATGTAAAATGATGCCTATTATTTTTTAAAAACGCCTTTTTCAAAGGTCAATAATTTTCACCTTTTTTTGCCTTTCTCTTAAAAGGAGTAGGGACCCCAGGTAGTTTGCCAATAACCAGAATCCTATCAGGAAGAACCCGGAAAACCGGTTTTTCAATTCTCCCATGGGTGGGTGATGGAATCCTATGGAGACTGAAGTATAATGAGGGAGATATCTTAGATTAAAAACTGGTGCTGATAATTTTGTATGCCTGGCAAAAGCATCATCAATCCTTCTTTACTAGCCTAAACAAAATAATGAAGGGCAAAAATGCAAATTTTATGTCTCATATTAAAGAGAAGACACAACTTGACTGCATTACAATTTTCTTGAGAAGCAGTGTCTTGGAGAGATCCCCATCACCTTCTCTTTTCTCTGCTTCCTATTTTTCTCAGCTTTCCTGGCAAGACAGATAGGGACCCATATTTGAAAGCCTGTCAAGTTTTAGAAGACTATTACACAATGACTGTCACATCCTTCCTCTAAGGCAAAAAATTAACTTCAGTCAGCTGTTTGCTAATCACAAGTTTTTCATACTCCATCTTTAAGACAGCCTTTCCTCTGGATTCACTTAAATTTCCTTGAACTCTTGTCTTCCTTGAAAGTACATCCTCTCAGAGCTTCTTTCCTGTTTTTTTTTTTTTTCAATCTCCTGCCATCGATCTTTCCCCATTGTTGAATTTCTTTCCCCTCTGTTCCTCAATGTCTTATCTAATGCCAGGCTTAAATGTCTGTGTGTGGGATTGATATCTATTTTTCTGTCCACCTCTCTTCTCCAAGGCTCAGATATGGAATATTTAAGTGCATGCTGGGTTATGTTTTTTTTTTGTTGTTTTTTTTTTAGTTGTAGGTGAGTACAATACTTTTATTTTGTTTATTTATATGTGGTGCTGAGGATCAAACCCAGTGCCTCACATGTGCTGGACAAGCGCTCTACCGCTGAGCCACAACCTCAGTCTACTCCTAATGCTTTTTAGGCAACAGATGCTTGCTGAGGACCTACTATGTGCCAGACACAGTACTAGATTGTAGGGATAGGAAAATGAAACAAACACACTTCCTACTCTAGAGGAGTTTTCAGTTCCCTGAGAAGTTAAGTTCCAATATTTACAAAAGGGAGAGATGAGTGCAATGATAGTTCTAGTATGTGCTCGGCACTTTTCTGAGTGCTTTGTGAATATGAATTCATTTAATCCTCAAAAATAACCCTAAGGGCTGGGGATGTAGCTCAAGCGGCAGCGTGCTCACCTGGCATGCATGTGGCCCGGGTTCGATCCTCAGCACCACATACAAACAAAGATGTTGTGTCCACAGAAAACTAAAAAATAAATATTAAAATTCTCTCTCTCCTTTCTCTCTCTCTCTCTAAAAAAATAAAAAATAACCCTAAGAGGTAGATAGAACCATTTAAGGGAGGATATGGTGATATTGAGATCGGTGTCCAAAAGCATCAAATTTCAAATGCTATTCAGTCTGGGGTGTAACTCATAGGTAAAGAACATACTGACATGAGCAAGGTCCTGGGTTCAATTCCCAGCACAGAAAAAAAAAAATGCTCTTAGGCCAGGAGCTGTGCTCGTTTCTGCAGTTCTAGCTACTCCAGAGTTTGAGGTGGGAATATTGCTTGAGCCCTGGGATTCATAAGCCAACCTAGGCAGCGTAGTAAGAAACAATTTCATAGAAAATGATGAATAAATAATAAAATGATATGCTGCTGACCACGTACAGCCTTAGTTTTTTTTTCATTGTCAATGGACCTTTATTTTATTTATTTATTTATGTGCAGTGCTGAGAATCGAACCCAGTGCCTCACACATGCTAGGCAAGAGCTCTGCCACTGAGTCACAGCTCCTGCCAGCCTTAGTTTGTTTTTTGTTTTTTGGGTTTTTTTTTTTTGTGTGTTTTTTTTTTTTTTTTTTTTGGTTTTTTTTTTTTTTTTTTTTTTGGTGCTGAGGATTGAACCCAGTACCTTGATGCACGCAAGGCAAGCACTCTACCAACTGAGCTATATCCCCAGCTCCCACCTATATTCTTAGAAGATGTGAGCAGTTTCATATAACGCTTAGCCAATAATACTGCATCTAAAGGGGAGCTATTTCTCTTCTGTGTGCTGGAGATCTAAACCTAGAGCCTCATATATGCTAAGCAAGTACCACTGAGCTACATCCCCAGACATTTTATTCATTCATTTATTTGTTTATTTTTGGTATTGAACCCCGGAGGGCTCTACCATCATTGAACTACAGCCCCAGCTCTTTTTATTTCATTTATTTATTGGTACTAGGGATTGAACACCCAGTGATGCTTTACCACTGAGCTACATCCCCAATGCTTTTTATTATTTATTTATTTTTGTTTATTTTGTTTTGCTGGGGATTGAACCCAGGACCTTGAAACAAACACACTTCCTATTCTAGAGTTTTCAGTTCCCTGAGAAGTTAAGTTCCAATATTTACAAAAGGGAGAGATGAGTACAGTGATAGTTCTAGTATGTGCTCAGCACTTAGTTCTAAGTGCTTTGTGAATATGAATTCATTTAATCCTCAAAAATAACCCTAAGAGGTAGATAGAACCATTTAAGGTAAGTGCTAGGCAAGGGCTCTAACACAGAGCCACATCCCCAGCCCTTTATTTTTCTGGCTAAATTTTCTGGCTAAATTGCTGGGGGTCTCACTAAATTGCTGATGGTGGCCTTGAACTTTTTTTTTTTTTCCTTTTCTTTTGGTACTGGATATTGAATCCAAGGGCTCAGGAGAGATTTACCACGAAGCTACATCCCAGCCCTTTATATTTTATATTTTGAGACAGGGTCTTGCTAAATTACTGAGGGTTCATTGAATTATTGAGGCTGGCCTCAAACTTGCAATCCTCCTGCTTAGCCTTTTGAGTCACTGAGATTATAAATGTGCACCACCATGCCTAATTCCTTTTTATTTATTTATTTATTTTTGTGATAGGGTAAGACTGAGTTGCCCAGGCTAGTCTCAAACTTGTGGATGATCATCCTGCTTCAACCTCCTCCTGAGTAGCTGGAATTACAGATGTGCACCACCACACCCAATTTATTTATTTATTTAATGTTTATTTTATTTTATTTTAGTTTTCGGCGGACACAACATCTTTTTTTGTATGTGGTGCTGAGGCTCGAACCCGGGCATCACGCATGCCAGGCGAGCGTGCTACCGCTTGAGCCATATCCCCAGCCCCCACCACACCCAATTTAAACTCTTAAACTCTTCTATCAAGAATCTGGATGTTAGATAATTCTACTACAACCTTTAGGTGACCTGTGATAAACTTTCATCATTGTTCTTGAAATGTTGTTTTACAGTCTGTTTCCGTAGTAGAAGTATTCCTTTTTATGATTTCACTGAGTTCCTCAAAATAACACTTCTGCTTTTACTTTCAAAGCCTATGAATATTTAAGATAAAGATCTTTTAGTAATAAATAAGTACTTCTTATTAGTAGATTTTGAGGCTTCCTTTGAAGTTAAAAGAAGGCCAATTTTCTTTAGCTCTGCTAGTGATTATATGGACAAGGAAATATGAACGTTTCCAAGCCATGTGACATTTTATTCAACCCTCATGATTCCTGTGACAAGCACATGAGGCAGAGAACCTTTTAACTTGTAGGAGTTGGGAATGCTATGTGAAGAGGCTTCTTAAAGAAGTGAAATTTAAAATATACAAGAAGGCTGGGGTTGCGCCTCAGTGGTAGCAGGCTTGTCTAGCACGTGTGAGGCCCTGGGTTCAAACCTCAGCACCACATAAAAAAAATAAATAAATAAAGGTATTATGTCCAACTACAATTAAAAAATAAATAAATAGGGCTGGGGATGTGGCTCAAGCGGTAGCGCACTTGCCTGGCATGCATGCGGCCAGGGTTCGATCCTCAGCAGCACCACATACAAACAAAGATGTTGT